TTTTCAGCGAAGGAACTTCGGATGATTTTTTGTTATTTGCAGTCATGTGATGATTGAACACAATTCTTAATTTTCGCAATTATTGTTTTCAATTTCGCCTTGTCAGAGCCAATTGTGTACGATTTCTTGTAACTCGTGCGTAACTCTGTTTATCTTGTGCGTCGAATTCGTTTCGGTTATTCTTTATTTTCGTTCGACCACCTTTCGTTATTCAACTGCGCTCACAATATTTATATCTTGTTTTGTAGTACACTTGTGTGATTATTTAACTAATTTTTTTTTTAGTTTCCAGCAATGTTGATTTCATTTTCATACAATTGCCCTGTGTGTCTTGTAGAGAACCATCGGCCCAGTCAAGCTGTTTTCCGAACGGCTTTTAGCCATTGATATCCGCCAGAGCCCTTGTATTTCTCGAAAAGAGTTATTTTATTCTATTCTATTATTGTTTCTGGCCACTCACGAACCGGAACATTTTTTTTCAATTTTTATAGCCATTTACATCTTCGTTACAGAATGCAAAATCGACTGCTACTTCATTACTGAAAAGATGCCGGGGAATAATGATGACGTGTTGTTTGAGATAGCACTCCGGTACAGTGGACACGTGTGTTTGTTGCTGAGGGCACGCTCGCACTCCACTGCGACAAGACACAGACGTATGCCCCGCCGCGGTGGTCTAGTGGCTAAGGTACTCGGCTGCTGACCCGCAAGGCACGGGTTGGAATCCCGGCTGCGGCGGCTGCATTTCCGATGTAGGCGGAAATGTTGTAGGCCCGTGTGCTCAGATTTGGGTGCACGTTAAAGAACCCCAGGTGGTCGAAATTTCCGGAGCCCTCCACTACGGCGTCTCTCATAATCATATAGTGGTTTTGGGACGTTAAATCCCACATATCAATCAATCAATCAGACACAGACGTATGAAGAAGCGAGCCAGACGAACGGCGCTGTGATCGCCCGTGTTTCGCGACGTTGTGCGTACACCTCTCCCCGTATCATCCTTCCCTCGAGAAACGTGACGCGTATCGCTTATTTGTCCTAGGTGGCGTAGCTGTCTACGTCTCGCGGACTGCATTCATATCATCATCATAATCATCGTCATCATCACCAACAACAACGATAACATCGCTGTGACATTGCTGTCTACGTCTCGCGGACTGCATTCATCATCATCGACAAGAGCAACAATATCATCATCGGCAGCAGCAACAGCAGCAGCAGCACTACTAGCCCACTGCAACACAAAAGCCTCTCCCGTGCTTTTCAAATCAACCCGGTGTTGTGCTTGGTGTGACTGCATTATCATTGCAAACTTCTTAATGACATATGCTCACCTAACTTTCCGCCTAAACATCGGTGAGCTTGCCTTTTCTTGGAATCCAGTTTGTTGCCATTAAGCGTAAAAATAAGGCAGAATGCATTTCAGGCTTGCTTTATACCACTGTTCATAGATGTGTCGGGTACCCCTTGTGGACCAGTGGATGTGGTAAGGAACCTCTTGCAGTGCATGAAACTAAATGAGGGCAGGGAGGTCTCGAATTAACATGAAATGAAGCGTAAAATAAGGGTCTTTTTTTTTTCTCCCAGGTAAACATTGGTCATACTAAAACGCCACGACAATGTGAACTCAACAGCTCAATTGCCATTGTGTTCTGTAGTCTGCAGTCATATTCAACCCGTTTCTAGCAGCTTGCTCTTCAAATATGCAACCCAGAAAAAAAGTATGCTGGCTGGCATATGTCGTAGAAAGCTGCAGATGCTTTACAACCATCTCACGGAGAAGGGGAAAATATTGAGGAACCCTTCGCCTTTGAAACGTGAACGGGATATTGACATCTTGCCCCTAGTGCACGCCGAGTTCAAAATGGCTAGTGTCAGCCATCGCATACGGCTTCATTATGTGTAATGGGCAGAATGCTTTAAAACGCGGGAAATTGTTAGCGTGAATTTTTTTTTCGAACTTGTTGTACACCCACTACGTGGCCTTAATAAGGAAAAAGGCGCTGTAACGTGTGCGCCTTTTGTAGTGGGTGTTCCACTTTAAAGGGGCCCTGCAACACTTTTTGAGCATGGTCAGAAAACGCTGCCGATCACTAGCATAGGCTCCCGACAACACGCAAGCCAAATAATATAGCGCAGCTCGTGGCTTGGAATTCGCAAATAAATTATCAAGGTCAGCTGAAAATTTCTTTCTCTTCTCTCGACAAATCATGCAATATACCCAAAAATCGCACGAAGCAAGCCCATCTATCAGCCATTGGCTGATTTCAACTTGGCGCGTTCGCTCGTTACAGAGATCGCCGCGGGAGGCCGCGACTTGTCCACGAGTGCGTACGCGATCACACTGACAAAGCCACGCATTCGAAGAAAAAAAAAAGAAAAAGTGCTCAAGGTCACAGGGCGCGCGTGACGTTTCTCTGTGGCCTTGCCACTCCTCCCTGCTTAGCTTCCAGCGCTTTCGTCGGGACGAGAGAAGAGAGGAAGCGATTGCAGCGTGTGACAAATATTTGTAACTCCGCTCGTACTGGACGGGCTCTTAAAATTTTTTGCGGCGTTTAATTCGTGAGGCAATAAGCTCTTCCAGTGATTTCGTTCCATGGTTACTTGTAAAAAGTGTTTCAGGGCCCCTTTACACGCCGAATCCATGATAGTCGCATGTTCTGACGCCCGATCACTACCTACGCTTGCACCACGTACGCGTTGTTAATGCGACATTGCATGTTGCATTGTGAGGCACGTATACAGGACTTGAGTGTTTGTAAAGCATGCAACTTTCATTGCATTTCCAAGCAGAGAAAGATATTCTCACTATATTTCCCACCAGACGCGTGGCTCTGTGGCAGAACACCTGCTTTCCGCGCAAGCGACCCGGTTCGATTCCCACTAAAACCCGGAATTTTTATTTATTTTTTTATTTGCATACTTCTCTTTTTTTTTTTGGTCCCGTAAAAGATGATGATTTTTCGCTCACAACCAACGACACCGAATGAGGGATTTCTGCGAAACGAGCTCTTTAACGCTATCGCGTTAATATAAGTGAGCTCTGCTGCAATGTAACAATGTTATGCAGTGAAACATACGTATATTCGGAAGGGGTTTCCGTCACGAGACATGTTGCGCCTAAAAAAATAAAAAGAAGGAAGCGTTTTTTTTTTTCCTTTTTTTCCATACTCTTATGTGTGTTTTTTTTTCGTTCTAAGCTGGGTTTGGCGGGCCCTCCAAAACAGCTTCGTGGACCCACTGCGGTACGCGGAGCCCCATTTTGATAACCACTGATAGACATTATACGTCTATGAATATTAATGAGATATAAAAGACAATCATCTCTTTAATATCGTATCTAAACAAATGAACCCTTAAATGTACATTTCTTTCCTGTATGTCTATGAATGATATATACATTCAGAATCTGAATAAGGTTCCTTATAGCTTGCGCCTCGAGGAAGTGTTTAGAGGTGCGTTTAGAGGAAACGCGCGTACTAAATTAACCATCCACCCAATTGCCAACTCTGCAATTGAAGTGGGAGAAATGTGAAGCAAGAGAAGCTAACGATGGTCACGAAAAATTAAGCATATGCGAACATCTCAGAAACATTAATTGCTAATTAATTTCTTGATCAAGGCGCCGTTCCCATTCACGTGGTGATCCCCGGGTGGGTTGCGTCAAGTGTCTAAAGGAGAACAAGAACACTCTATCATTGTTATCATTCGTGGGGTGCTTACGCATAATTTGTGGGGGCTCAATTACTGTCCCGGGATCGATTCTCTGTTTATTTCTTCTGAGCGGCTAACACGGACACTCGCGTATTAGTAAGAGTACAGACTTGATTTGAAAAGGTGGCGACCTCTTATTACTCTTAACCACAAGCGCGGTCATCCGAGGAAAACATAAGAAAATATGGTAAGATTTCAAGTAATTTAGGAAGAAGGAATTTTAATGCGGGCGATCAATTTACACCCCCCCCCCTTTTTTTTAGATGCCCAATTTCAAACTTAAGAAAACCGCATTCACAACCTATATTTAGCTTATGCGCCCTTAATTATGCGCCCGAGATGAGTTTGAACTCATTGTCGTACGTCGACGTTTGTTTTGCCACTTATCTGCATGGAAATATGTGCCGCGAAAATCAGGCGTTTTTAAGTGTCTGAGGAGATTGTGAAGTCTATACATATGCATGCCCGCACCCTTTATGTCGTCTCTACATTAAATGCATGGTAACTTGCCCTCATTTGCATTCAGCTTGGAACAAAACAAAGAAGCCACGTGTACACGGTTTGTTATTCCGCCATCGTCCCCACGCTATTTTTTTCGCACTGTTCGCTTGTCAGTGCCCTCCTATCTTTCGTGTCATGAATTTCATATATAATTTTTTTAAACCTAAGCACACGTATGTCAAAACGAATGTTAAAAGCATTGGAAGCGATGGCACGTTGATGGTCACTTTAAACGAGCCGTGAGCACGGCCGCTTCCAGAAAAGAGCTCGGAGGCGCAATTACGGAGCGCTGAAGTGGCCGTCATCAAATATGCACCGCTAGACGCAGTGCCGGCCGCCCGAAGCCACACACGCCCTTTAGACTCGGGCGTGACAGCGTTATTGATTGCTTTTCAGCGGGTGTTTCTGGACAGTGTCAGGTTCTTTGCTCTTTTCGTCTGGCAACGAGGAGAGAAAAACGCCGTCTTGCCGGGTGGCCACCCTGTGCTGAAGGGCGTTCGCCGGCTTCTTATTGATTCCGGCGAGCGGGCAAAGAGTGCAATCTCAGTCGTCATTTTAAGAAGGTCATAAAGTCAGCTTAGCAGTAACCCTTTGTGTTCATCATTGTTTTTAAGCGATTCTCGCTAAGATATTGTTGAATAAAAAATTTTAGTGCTGTTGAATTACGATTTGTCCGATTGGTTTCGGGTAACCTTCCGCCAATTGGCGTTGGCGGAGGTTTGGCATCTCTCTGCACTCCCCCCACCCGCTGGCTCTTCGCTCGTAGGTAGGGAGAGTGGGGGGGTGGTGCAAAAGTATCAAAGCAAGAGGAAAAAAAAGCGCCAGAAACTGACTGTCCCCTCCTCCCCCTCCTCCTCCACTGCCTTTAACACTGGCACCGCTAGCGTTAGGCGTATGCCTTATCAAAGTGCCGACGTGAACGAAGCGTCCTTTTCTCACCTATCCGTGCAAGCTCGACGAGCCCCAGCGATGTGAAATTTAAGAGTGCACGCACGGGTTAGCGTTTCGCCCTCGAAATGCGGTGTGTCGGCGTGGAAGATCACACTACTACGAGTGCAGCGGTGGACTCTTGATGTGGACGCCTATTCGGATGAAGGGTCCGCTATGCTCTGGCATCTCCTCCAAGCGCTCGTCTCGCTCCAACTTGCGTCCGCTGTTCTCCCCACCGAAGGTCAGTTCAACCTCGAATGGCCTTTACGAACGCCGCGCGCAGGGTCGCGGCGATTTGTTAGCGGTTTCGATTTCCTTCGGGTGTACGTCTCGGCGGTCGGGGACATCCCTCATCGCCGCGGCTGCTGCCATTGGAAGCAACACCGAATGCGAGTGCAAGAAAGCGAAAGAGATAAAAGAGAACTGTGCTATGTTTGGAGCCATCGTCGCGCTCTGTTTGTCCCTGATTGTTCCAGCGCGCGCACGCACGCACACTTTAAATGCATGCGCGTCGCTTTATTGCGGGCCCGTAATGTCGCGCCCGTAAATCTCGCGAGCACTTTCGCGGAGGTTTGACAGTTGCCGTCGTGGACGGCTACCGCTCGATTCTACGTTAACGCCGGTCCGTGCGCACGTTCTCGCTGCAGTTAAATGAAACGAAAGTCTAAATGCATGCTTCGCCGCTAGCTTAAGCTGCATAGCAATGCTGGTGCCGATTCATTCGTATCGAAATCGTGTTTCCGGAGGCATCCCTCCACCGCCAACTAGCGCGGAGCCGTATCTCGCGTCGTGTTAATTCGCGGCCCACTGCTAGTTCTTGAAATGCCTGCTCTCTTAGTCAGCAAAAGAAATCGCCACAGATATGAATCGTTTCAACCTCCGTATTGTGCGTTAAGCGCAGTTGCGGACGCTATCGGCCTCGTACGCGCTGCACCGTACTGTTATCTCGGCAACGTCAGTGGGGGGGGGGAGTCACGCCGGTAGCTGCCCAACAGATGCGAGTAAACTGTTCGATCTTTGAGTGCCGGTCGTTTATCGGTGTCCACGTGCGCCAGTTTCCTGTTTCAGTAACGGCGAAAGATAGAAGAGAAGCCCATTCTTCAACGTACGTTGCTCCGAAAGTCGCCGGTGTAAACAAATGTTTGGGGATCAAACCATGCCCGTTGCAAAGCAACTTTGGCTCTGCTAGTCGTTGCTACCATAAGAGTCTCTCTTATCTAATCGCCACTGATTTTCTCTTTGATATATTTTTTTCTTCCTTAACCAAGCATTCCTCTTCGCACCGAAAGTTGCCAGCCACAACGTTTGGAACGCTACACAGCTTGAAGAGTGCGAAGTTCTGTGCATCAGCCAGCGTCGCCGTAACATTCGCGAAATTATGAGCGAGAAGACGTGTATTAGTATCTTCGGGGCTGCTCATAGGCCGTTAGTGATCAGCACTATACGTAACGTCACTTCATATGGCTACCACCATTCTCTTGTAGCTCATCCTGTATGGATTACGTGTAATATGTCATCGTGTTCGTGCGTGTATTTGTAGGACCCTGTACGTTGTGCGCATTTCTGTCATCAACATGCATTTGAACGTTGTCTTGAACACTGAAACGCAGGTAAAGAACAAGTTAATTATACACTAACTTGCTTTGATCCAGAACCAATAAAAGAAACTTAATTGACTGTCAACTCTCTGAATTAAGCATTATATTTCTTGCACCCTTACTTTCAGAAGTACACGACTTCCTGTTTCTCTCATCACTTAAAAGTGTTGCACATATACGCCTCTGCATTCATATAAGATATAAACGTTATCAGCAGGAATCCAAGCCAACAATGTAAGAGCCTTTTTGTCTATGCATGCATGTTTTTTTTCTGGGTCATTCCACATGGTTGTTGGTCTTTGATGAATCTATCCAGAGGCCATGAAATTGATGCTGGCACTGGGCGGGTTGTGGCACTAAATTTAACTCCACAATGGCAACGTTTGCACAGACAAAAAAAAAGACACTGGCAGTCCTTGTGCATTGTTTTCGGCTAGCTTTTGTAAACTTCGCTCACGCTTGACTGGTTCCAGGTAAAATGTTTGCACACGCTACACACCTTTAGTCGTGTTCACCGGTGCGTGGCCAAGCCGTGTCAAATGTAGATGTCGATCTGCTGCATATTTTGACCCGGAATGCATACGTGCAGGGCTAATACAGGATGTAGGAAAGATGTTTCATCTTGTGTCTGACATTGAAGTTTCCTGCTTTGTCCTCTGTTTTTTTTTTTGTAACTTTTGATATTGACGTTCACACTAATTCTAGGCAACATAAGCAATATTCAAAATTATAAACTAAGCATGATTGCAGCAGAACATTTGCAGCAGAACAGCAGAACGGCTGGTTATTTTTTCACCCACTTTTCTTTCTTCTTATTACATTTCATTGTTTCTAATAACTTCCCCTGTACATTCCTTGGCATTACTGTCTGTTAGATCTCATTAATATTGTGTCAAAACACGGAAAAATCAGCCCTTAGGTATACACTTCTTTCCCTTATATATTCATAATAATATATATAATATTATATACATACTAAAGTAAAACAAACATAAAATAAAACCAAATGATGTAATGAATAATGTGAACAGTATAACTGAAAAAGAATACAAAAAGCTGTAATACATAAAATGTCGACATTCAAACAAGGTGGAGCTATGGTAAGGAACAGTAAAACTAAAAATGCATGTGTGATTTTAGTTTTCTTCTTATAGTGATACAAGTTTCTTGCGTTTTTAATAACAGCTGGTAGTGTGTCCCAAAATGCTATAGATGAAAATTCAGCAGTTAGCTTACCATAATTAGTAGGTACCTTAGGCAAGAGGACATTATTGTTACATGCAAATCTAATATTACTATGGGCGACAAGGTCGGAAGATGAGAAGCAGATTGGAGGTAGTGCCTTGGTTATGTATTTATAGAATGTGATACCTAAGTTGTAATTGAGGAGCTCAGAAATGGTCAAGATGTTGTTATCATGAAGTAGGCATTTACCGTTAGAAAAACGTGAACTGTTAGTAATGATTCTTATAGATTGGTTCTGTATTACTTGAAGGGAAGCCAAATGAGTGTTATAGGTGTTACCCCAGCACATTATGCCATAATTAATATGAGAATGAACGAATGAATAGTAGAGTGACAGTGATGTGGCACGTGTGAAGTATGGACGAGTTTTGATAAGAGCACGGATGCCGTATGCTATTTTCTTTTTGATGTGAGAAATATGGTCTATGTATTTAAAGTTAGAGTTGAGAAAAATTCCGAGAAAAGAAGAGCAGGGACTGTGTGTGCAGTTGTCGAAGTATGTGCAGTTCTCGCATTTTAACTGGCAAAAATGTTTTATTAAATTCATATATACTGTTCTTAAAGCATACTGGGTAAAATTCTTTTCCAATCATTAGTACAGTTGGGACTACAGGTTCCCCTTCTTGCTAGTTGGGCATCTGGTGGTTGCACATGTTAGTGTGCTAGTTGGTCTCCCATTCCAAGGGACTGACAAGGACGACCAGGTAGATACGAAACGAAGCATAGGCGTAAAATTTAGTTTATATTCCAACCATTTTTTGTAGTAGGAAAAGAAAAGGTAGGTAAGAAACACCAGTTGACTAAACATTGAAAGGCTTAAAGACTGTAACATCAGGAGCGTCGACAACCGCCACTGTGGTACTACGTTGCACCTGATAAAGTGTCAACATGCAAAGAATTCACACTGCTCATTCCGGATTGGTGAACTAGAGTCATGTGAACTGCCCTCGATTTGGCGGCCATCGACTTTGTCTTTGATTGACGCCACCATTTTGATGGCCAACAAAACGCCTTCACAGTCGTCCTGCCGGTGATGTTGAAGACAAGTGCTTGTGCCTTCTGCATCCCCCTGCTTTTGAGGGAAATGTTCTTTTGTCACAAAGTGGCAGGGGGACATAATCTGCACCTCGTTAGCTCGTGACGGCAGTTTTAGCTTCTCGGGTGTCCGACTTTCCTGTGAAAATTCGAGTCGTAACAATTTGTGGCCGCTGCGTTTGCACTGTTCCCGCTTTCGTCACTGATTGGCTTCCGAAGTTTATAAAGTAGTGGGGGTGCTCTGCTCACTTGTTAAACTATTGATGTGTGTGCCTTCGAAACCCCCTGTGTGGCAGATCGTGCTTGACAATTGAGTGAATAGACTATCAATTGGAAGGACTTTCAAACACCTGTGTTACATGGGTATTAATCGTCCATTAGTGTCATCAGTTGTGTCTAAGAAAGAAACAAGACCCTAAAGCAAATATCCTTCTTTAAGATTCTCATTTTAAGGTGCACCACATTGAAAATGGAGTGTAAGACATAATTGCCTGAGAGAATTAAGACAAGACAAAACAAAGTTTCTGGTAATTCTACCAAAGTTGGCGATCTTCCCAGCAACCTTTCCTTCTCATTTAGTTGCATGCCGTAAGAGTGACACTGGATGTGTCACTTGTCACAAGAAAATGAAGTATTTGTTGCCACTGTATCCGGTTCCTAGTTGCCCTGGCTAGTGCATTAACAACTCGCGAGCGGTAGCATAGCACCCACGTGTTGGAGTTTCACAGGACTGCCCCTGACCACATAGTTGCGTGGCAATGCACCTCATGAAACAAGGCTATTTCCGACTGATAGCTGACCGAAGCATACTTCTGAATAACTTGTCATTTAGTTGTCAAGAGCGCTTTAATCACATTGAATGTTGGATGCATAAACCTTGAAGAGCCTGCTGAAGAACTTTTATTAATGATGCCTTTACATGAATCTGTTTGTACAACACTACAGCTTCCACAGAAATGCCTCGAAACGTTTATTAGCCGCGAAAGTTTTTTTGAGGAAAGTGTTAATGAGAACTAACAAACAATGAAGGAATGAAAAGTATCATTGTCTCTTAGTTCTCAATGATACTGTGCCTAACAAGAAAAAAACGAGCCCTTAAGTTTACAGATTTTTCCTTGTTTGAGACAAGTGGTGTGGTAAGCTGGTTTCACTTACCATTATTATTTATATGGTACAGTCGTGAATATATATATGCCCATGGCATCAATGACTTTCACATAATTTCTAACATTTGTAAACGATGTCATCATATTATTTCTAAACCACTCTGACCTTGTCCATTATGAGGGCCCCTCTTTTATGGGAGGTTATAAAGAAAACTATCAGTCAGCGAAGGGATCACACCGACAGCTGAATTTTTCTG